CTCTGTTGAACTCGTTGCCAGTTATCATACATGGCTTTTGAGATAAAAAAAGTAGTCACAGACCTTGAGCGATAACTCAAAGTTTTTCCGTAACGCCATCTCCCTGTTCAGTTGTTCGCGTAAGGCTGCTGAACTTACGGAAGATTCACGGCTCAGATTCTTTCCCTATAAGAATTGTTTTCACTGCTCTTTACGCATGCGCTATACTGGCGAGACACTTCTTCTGGTTGCACAACAAAACTTGGGACCATCAGGTGAGGATCACCGAAAAGTGATCACAATCTAGAGAAGTTAGAATGAACTAATACCTTTCAAACATATACCATGGAACCTATATGTAAAATCCGACAAGGCTGCTGAGTTGGCAGGGAATATCTGGCTTCATATCGTCAGTACATAAGCTTGTAATGTCATGATCAAGGAGAGAAGAAAATTGTATTCTGCAACAGAGGGATGCCAAACGGAAGCGCAAGAGACAAAGTTAGACAAAACCGCCTAGGAACGACTCCTCTTAAAACTACAAGTATTGGGACTAACAGAGCATATTGATACTGGGCTATTAATGCTACTTTTGAGAGCAGTTTCAGTTAATATCTTGATTTGTGAATGTTACCTAGAATTCATTTAGACTATATAGAAAGAGTTTTTGGACATATTATCGTGAAAAATGACTTAAAGATCTTGTAAGCGACAGGTCTCCTTAATGACATACGGCTGACAACACGCGATAAAGCCGCAACGTTTTCAGAAGGGAAAGTGATCGAATGAAAAAAAGGTCCTATATCTTTCTTGTTCTTAAATTGTGGATCTGCGCTATAACATTCGCTTGCTTCATTCTCTGTTTCCAAAAAAAAACAAAAAAGTCGTATCGCGATTAATCATGCTTTCACTTACTCCTCCAATCCTTCTTCTCTCCTTTCCTGTCAAACACTTCACAACTTCATATACAATGTTGTTACCTCGGACTTCATGAGTGAAACCTTTTCAATTGGAACGAGGTGCACATCTTCTTCTTCTTTAGAATCATCCGCGGATCGACTGAAAGTAGACGTCTGCACCGATCTCGAACCTGGAGTTATACTCATTTCATTGCACAATCTAAAAAACCAAAGACATGAATACCTTTATCCACTATTGACTCAGCCTTCAAACGCTGAAGTAGCGTTTCCAGAAGTAACGATCGGACCTCACTGGGAATGTTTTCCGTTCTGGGATCTTCCAACATCTCACGCACCCTGTTTGCAGTAGGCAATCTCTTCAAGCAATCAGCCTGAATAATTAGTATTCAAAAGTCTGAATTTATACAACAATAAAAAAGGATAAGGGATAATTTTTTGACCCTAATCAATCCCGTCTGAGGGATATCCATTATTTTTCTTCAACGTTTCCATTCTTGAAGGCTTTTATAAAATAGAATTATGTCGATGCTACTAAATGACCTCGTCCATTGGGAGTCCGACGGTAGCCATTCCCGTCTAAGGGATGCGCCCATGCATTCGACTTCCATTCAGAACCGTAGTGGCATAATGAATGCGTATGTGGCCTGCGCAATGACTTGCGGTGGCCAGCTGATCTACAAGTCAGTGCTTTTATCCTCCCAGACGGGTCTGATACCAACTAGCNGTTGGCCCCGGAGGATAGAAGGCTCGGTAGGCCTAGGCGGACGTCGATCCGGGATTCGAACCCGTGACCATGCGTGTGCGAAGTGCGCCACTTGCCATTGCACCATCCCCGCCCAAGAATTACAGTATTCGATAAATATTCGTAATTCGCGTGTTCCACGTAAATCAACCCGTTGGAAAACCTCTCCATCCTTAGAAGTCGTCTCAACTCACTCAACCGTTGCTCTTTACAAACCTACCATATTTAGCTATGGCTACAAAAACGAACTCATTCCCCTCGAGCAAGATAAATCTACAGAACTATGTAAATAAATTACATGAAAGCAAGGTAGGTTGAGATAACCAATACTACATCCATTGGGGAAAGCTTACTTGAGTTCTTTACATCATTCCGAGTGAGACAATTTATGAACTCAGATTTCTTCATTGCTTTTAAACGTACATATGTAATTGACCTTATATCTCTCCCGCCTTTCATTGCTTGATATCGCGAGAGCAACTTGTCAAGTTGCAGGAAAGCAACAAGCACTCAAGTTGAGCCTTTTCTCTCACAAGATACTTAGTCCAATTGGTTATGACAGGCATCGCAATGCGCAACCGTCACCCATAGTTCCAATACTATGACAGCAACAGAAACAGGAAAACAGTAGAATATCTCTGCCTCCAACTCATTCGCTGCACACACCTAGCTGATACAAATACAGCACGTTTGAAAAATGTACCTGTAAAGATGCCATTTTGTATAGACTCGCGTATTCCAATCGCTTTAACAAATCAAACGCCGAAATTCCTTCATTTGACATCAGAAAATCTTCACATCTCCATCGGACCTGGTCGACTTCAAACATATAGGAAGTAGAAATAAGAGCAGGGACCGTTTCTTCTGAGAAAAAAGAATGTTAAAATCCAGAGATCCTATACCTATACAATCGTGAAAATCATAAATTAAATGATTTGGTTTCCAACTACTCACTAGTTATTTCGATGCTAGGAGGATAAATCGCTCTAAGCAACACAAGAAAGTCTTCGAGTTCCACATCGTCGAGAGTGATCGTCGCATTGGCTGCATCAGCTGTTCCCAACTCAGCATTACCTGAGAAGTTTTCTACCCTTGTAGACAATTATACTGGACTGAAGTTTATGACCGTAACGAAGTGGTCCCCATTGACAGACGGCACGATAGAGTTCTCAAGGCAACGGGTCTACTGCATTAACCCAATGACTGGTCAATTTCTACTTACAGAAGAAATGCAAATAAGCAACGAATAAGTGATAAAAGCGTCCGCCTAGACACTGAGGTAATAGTGTGCAGAAAACCAAAAGAAACCGAAATGGATACATTTACTGTGGCAGACCTTTAACCCAGAAATTTTGCACTATACGGTGAACAACAGTATTAGTTCATCATATGCAAGATCTGTAGGAAATATCAAATACCGCTCTGAAGTAAAGTGTCGTTGGACCAATGGGAAACTGGCTGGCAGCTTGTTTTGTTGGAAGCAGTCAAGATGTCACTTCTGAAAACACCTCTATGAATATGTATTCCAATGACTAGGCTTTCCGAAGCTATATTAAATGCTAAGAAAAATTACTCCGAATAACCAGTATAAATGAATAAACATGTGTGAATACCTTAGGCTCATCACGTCAAATTCGCTGGTATCGTCTACTTCTGAAGAGTTATCAATAAACGGTGCGGTTTTGAGCTCTCGATTAGTCTTCGCAAGGCTCTTGGCGAAATAAGGCGAATGGATGGAGAGGTACTAAAACAGTGAGTGGGTGTAATGTGTGTTTGAAATGAATGACATACCATACTGAGTTGGGAGTAAGGTATATTCAACCTCCTGAATCGCATTTCTTAAAAACATACCTGAGAATTGGCATAAAGTTTGCGAGACGTATTTCGGAAAAGGATGCACAAGTCCGAAAAAGCGGAAGGGTTGAAGAAATCAATCGGGAACATTGACTTCCATCTACATTTATAACATAATTCCAACCATGTTGTGAAAGGATTTGGTATCATCTACTCACCGGTAGCCGACGACATTGCGAAACTCTAGTGCTATTTCGAACTTTTGGTGATTTGAATTCAATTCAGCACGAGGAACTACGAACAAATGTTTGCGATTAGATGAATGAAATTTGACCAAAGCCTGAAATCACTAAATAANGTATGTATGAGTTGACTAGAAGCGTAAGATTCCGGATGTTATAGAGCAAGCGGCAGCTAAAAAAAAGTTCACGGCGGTAAAGAAGAATTTGAAAATCGGCGAAAACGTTTAGACCCACACTAAGGAGAATCGGGAAATCAAAGATTTTCACAGAACATTGGGAGGGCAGAGCGAACCGGATCAACGAGTACCGAGCCTTTCTAGCAGGTTTCACTAGTCATTGATAAAGTGGTGTCCTTACCTTTTTGAAGCAGAGAAGTCGACTTTACAAACCCTCCTTCTACCCTCCGATGTCCCCCCTAGAGACCCATGCTTCCACTCCGGCTCTTCATGGAAGCAGCCGAGTAAGGTTGACTGCGCGATAAAAAGTAAAGGAAATTTTTTTTTTGAAAATTTTTTGAAAAAAAAAGGAAAAATTTTCAAAGTATACTGCAAGCACTGATGCGATCTATATGCATCATTAACTTCTGCATAGGAACTTCTGTATATATAAATCAGGTTGGAACTTATTCACAGTAATGAAAAACAGCTTACTTCACGAATACGTTCCCCATGTACCGCGAGAGAATCACTTCGTACAGAAGGAAGTCCGAAGATAATATACACTTCACAGAGCCATACGTTGCTCTCAACTTCGCGGTTACACCACAAGGTCACTTCCAACGTTGATTCAAGAAAAAAAGCCTCAGTTTCCCTTAAAAAATCAGGCAATCATTTACTTCAACATCAGATCTGGCTGGCTGCAGACGGGAGACAGCTAGTTGTATCGGCTAGGGTCAGTGACCTCATTGCAATTCAGCCTTTTCCAGTGGTCCAATACAGCTATTTTCAGACAAAATGACCAAAAGTNTCGATCAAAGTTGTGGTTATTGCCCACAGATCATGGACAAAGAACAGGAGTGCTTCTCCGAGCATAATCTCAAAAAATATCATCAATATGGAAACAAAAGCCAAATTGGTACCAGTACCTGGCCATAATTTTAATTACGTAATATATAGTATTTCTTGTGCCTTCTAACCTCTATTACATGCCTATTCAATTAGGGTTCCCGCTGAAGAGGTCTACTTTAATCCGACAAGGCTGCTCCCGTTGCTCCAGAACAACGCGACAGTTAGCGTTGACTAGACGGTGCGTAGAACTTTTTCGAGATGTTTCGCGAGATATTTGCAGAGCACCTTTCATTATTGAACTCTTTTTCAAGGACTATTCCGATCCCTTTAATGTCATTTCATCTACGAAAGCGCATGCGTAATACCAAAAAATTCAATTCAATTATGGGAACAAGTTCTGTAGAATGAGGTGGTGCGAGACCTATGACCCTGACAAATTGAAGAGTAAAGAGTGTCTCGGCATTACCTGTTTTCTACAAACCCATGACTATGAGATCACTGATGACCGGATAAAGTCCTTTCTCAAGTTATTCATATGGCTCAAACATAAACTTCACCATTCTATTCCGTACAGCTTCTTCTTCACTACGCTACGCTCACCAGAAGGCAGAACATCGAACTCCAAGTAGGTACGTAGTGGATCAGTCATGTTTTATAACAGCTGAAAAACATTAATAGAAACAAATAAAATCAATTTGCGTCACAACTTCAAGGAAGAGGCAGCGAACAGCGCGCCCACGCCAACGATGACTGTCGCGAAGAACTCGTGAGCAGGGAATGGTCCCACAGCGAACGCTGAAGTTTACTGTGGACAGAGTGAGTGAGCGGCTGCTTAAACGCGATATGGAGTGGAGTACAGATGCCGCTTCATTCATGTAAAGAACAGCTCTCGAGCAAGTGTAAGAGGGCTCCTTTCTAATGGGAATTCTTGGAAGAACACGTTTGGAAACAGTTGAGAAAACATAGTTGTAGCGACACCCTGTCACGGAGACAGCTGTGATATAATGGCTGGGGAACCTAGAAGGGGTTCAACCCGCTCCAGGTGGATATCCAGGGGTTATATGCTACACTCGCAAAAGTTCCCTTGGTTACGGTTTCACAAACGGGGCCGCACCTGCGTGAGGAATTGCGCATTGGCCAAGTTGCTTCATTACAAAGTTGTATGAACAGAGAAAGTTCCAACTACCAGCGGAATGTGGATCAAGTGGAAGTGATTATGACCATTTCCCATCCCTTCAAGTTTGAACACCGTCGATTCGCGAATTCCATCAATGAAATTTTGATTTCTTCGAAGGCAAAGTTAACAATAATTTTGGTGTACCTAGTTTCACATGATTAATGGAACTGATAGTCGAGGTAGTGCAAAATTGTCGAAGAGAACGGGAATATCGTCAAGTTCAGAGAAATGAAAGGCTCCAAAATGTGAAGTTCGGGGTTGCACGAGAATATGATGACAAAAGTTGATGGGAAATGACTCGTTCAAATGTGTGGGCCACCGCGTACACCTGGCTACAGTAAGCTGCCTGCGTAAAACGTGTGCGTCCCGGTGCGAATGGTACAACCTCTACAGCTTCTACAACCTCGTGAGGTCTCGCACGCCTATGGGTGTGCTCGTCGAAAGCCGATTTCTGTATCCTTATTGCGTCCTACC